CTCTCCCCCTCCGCCACGCTCTCCCGACCTATCGCCCTCGCTCCCACCCCCCCGGGCCCATCGCCCTCCCGCCCATCGCACCGGGCCCATCGCCCTCCCGCCCATCGCACCGGGCCCATCGCCCTCCCGCCCATCACCTTCCCACCCATCACACCGGGCCCATCGCCCTGCCGCCCATCGCACCGGGCCCATCGCCCTCCCACCCATCACACCGGGCTCATCGCCCTCTCACCCATCGCCCTGCCGCCCATCGCACCGGGCCCATCGCCCTCCCACCCATCACACCGGGCTCATCGCCCTCTCACCCATCACACAGGGCCCATCGCCCTCCCGCCCATCGCACCGGGCTCATCGCCCTGCCGCCCATCGCACCGGGCTCATCGCCCTGCCGCCCATCGCACCGGGCTCATCGCCCTGCCGCCCATCGCACCGGGCTCATCGCCCTGCCGCCCATCGCACCGGGCTCATCGCCCTGCCGCCCATCGCACCGGGCTCATCGCCCTGCCGCCCATCGCACCGGGCTCATCGCCCTGCCGCCCATCGCACCGGGCTCATCGCCCTGCCGCCCATCGCACCGGGCTCATCGCCCTGCCGCCCATCGCACCGGGCTCATCGCCCTGCCGCCCATCGCACCGGGCTCATCGCCCTGCCGCCCATCGCACCGGGCTCATCGCCCTGCCGCCCATCGCACCGGGCTCATCGCCCTGCCGCCCATCGCACCGGGCTCATCGCCCTGCCGCCCATCGCACCGGGCTCATCGCCCTGCCGCCCATCGCACCGGGCTCATCGCCCTGCCGCCCATCGCACCGGGCTCATCGCCCTGCCGCCCATCGCACCGGGCTCATCGCCCTGCCGCCCATCGCACCGGGCTCATCGCCCTGCCGCCCATCGCACCGGGCTCATCGCCCTGCCGCCCATCGCACCGGGCTCATCGCCCTGCCGCCCATCGCACCGGGCTCATCGCCCTGCCGCCCATCGCACCGGGCTCATCGCCCTGCCGCCCATCGCACCGGGCTCATCGCCCTGCCGCCCATCGCACCGGGCTCATCGCCCTGCCGCCCATCGCACCGGGCTCATCGCCCTGCCGCCCATCGCACCGGGCTCATCGCCCTGCCGCCCATCGCACCGGGCTCATCGCCCTGCCGCCCATCGCACCGGGCTCATCGCCCTGCCGCCCATCGCACCGGGCTCATCGCCCTGCCGCCCATCGCACCGGGCTCATCGCCCTGCCGCCCATCGCACCGGGCTCATCGCCCTGCCGCCCATCGCACCGGGCTCATCGCCCTGCCGCCCATCGCACCGGGCTCATCGCCCTGCCGCCCATCGCACCGGGCTCATCGCCCTGCCGCCCATCGCACCGGGCTCATCGCCCTGCCGCCCATCGCACCGGGCTCATCGCCCTGCCGCCCATCGCACCGGGCTCATCGCCCTGCCGCCCATCGCACCGGGCCTATCGCCCTCCCGCCCATCAGGCCACTCAGCCCCGAAACACACGCAGCGCCGCGAGGCACAGCCGCTCAGCGTAAGAGCGACAAGCAAAGGCTGATTGGACCTGTGCAGATGCACCGCAGGATCTTAGAACCGGTTTAGGACATGAGAGATCAAACACGGGGCCAGGCCGACTTGGCAGCGTCCCTTCCCCCACATCGGTGCCGCCTCCAGGACACGCTGAATCACAGGGCACCCTGCCCGTCTGGTTCTGCCTGATCCCACGCAAGTGCCGACGTAGCAGTGACAGAGACAGACCAGGAGGCTGGCAGAGGCCGAGCAGCCCTCTGCAAAGAGGTGGTAACACTGGCAGCAGCCAAACAGGTGGCACACAACGGGCGCAGGGGGTGTGAAAGCGCATGTGTTGGGTTTCCTCTCCAGGCCCGGCCTCAGCCCTGGGCTGTGGGGAAGCCTCTCCCAGGAGGTTTCTGAGTCCCACTGGCTGTGCTGGTAACTCGCTGCAGTGAGCTCCCCGGGGAACTGGAGCGCCAGGCTGGGTCAAGGGCAGCATCCCAGAGAAACGCCCAGAGGCCGACTGAGGACGCCCCGGAGCTGCCAGATGTGCCAGGGCTGGGTGCTGGGTGCTCTCTCATTCCGTCCATGGTGCCAGTTCTCAGCCCAAGAGCGGCAGCTCCGCAGCAGAAACAGAACCAGGCTGGTCCGGACGCTGCGGGGTGGGGGCATCAGAGCCCTGCAGCAAAGCACAGAACCGGCCCGAGCGCCAGCGTCACCAGGCGCCCCAACCCCGGGGCGAGGGCTGCAGCTGGCGGGCCAGAGCAGCCGCGTGGCTTACCTTGGTGAACCAGAGGAAGTCCTGCATGAGCAGGCAGGAGTAGGTGTCATCTATCTCCACCACGGGGATCTGGTCCTCGTGCGTCACCAGGATGTTGTCATCTCGGTATAGGATGGAGATGAGATAGAGGCCCCTGGGGAGAGGAGGCAGTGCTCGGGAGACGGCCCATTGCCTCGTGGGCAGGCTGCTTTCCAAAGGGGCCTTTCTTCCAGAGGGAGCCCCGCAGCAGGGACTCCTGGGAACGCCTCGCCACAGGTGGTGGGAGGGCAGGACTGTAACGGGTTCGAGGAGGAGCTAGAGATTCAGGGGACGGGTGCATCCATGGCTCTCACGTCCCCTCTCAGTCTGCTCCTTTCCAAACGAAACAAGCCCAATTCCTTCAGCCTCCCTCCCAGCTCGTGTTCTCCAGACCTTTCCTCATTCGTGTCGCTCTTCTCTGGACCCCTCCAATTTCTCCACATCCTCCTTGAAATGTGGTGCCCAGAACCGGACCCAACACTCCAGCCGAGGCCCGATCAGCACCAAGCAGAGCGGAAGGAGGACTCCTCGTGTCCTGCCCACAACACCCCTGTGAGTGCCGCCCAGAATCACGTTTGCTTTACTTGCCACAGGGTCACACTGCTGACTCCTATTTAGCTTGTGCTCCACTCTGGCCCCTAGATCCCTTTCTGCAGGGCTCCTTCCTAGACAGCCACTTCCCATCGTACCGAGTGACCCATCCCGTCCCCCAGAACCAGCAGGTGGCAGGCAGAGGGACAGGGACAGCCAGAGCCCGGGGTCGCCCCTGCCCTTGCTCTTACCTTTTCAGGGTCTTTAGGAACTTGCTGCCAGGGTGGAAAAGGTGCTTCAGGCTTTTGGAGACCGAGTGCTTCCGGCTCTGGGGCTGGTTCTTGCAGGACTCTGGAGAAGAAGGCAGCGTGGAGCACAGTACGTGGGGATGCGGGCGCACCAGCTGCACCATGCCCACCGCGGCAGCACGCCGGCCCTGGAAACACTCACGGTTCTGGCATCTACCGGAGACCAGGCATGTGCGTGTGCTGCCCGCGGTCCCCGGGCTGGGTTGGGCTCAGTGTCCTGTAGGCACAAGGCTCTAACCGGGGAGCGGCTCCGCTTGGCTGCCGGGCTGCGGAGATTTCTGCACCTCCAGATGGGAAGCGAGAAAGGCCAGAAAAGCCGTCTGAGACCCAGCAGGAGCACACTGCAGCTCACCCCAAGCCTCATCGCTAGGGAGACGCCGGCTGAAAACTCCTGCCTCAGGCAGGTCTTTGCAGACAGGACACTGGCCATGGCTTTGTGTGAGTGTGTCCATACATACAGACACACACACACACACAAATACACACACGCGCACACACAAATACACACACACGCACACACAAATCCACACCCACACACCCACACCCACACTGCAGCCCCCGTGCAAAGGAATGCGCTGTCAAAGGGCCACGCCGAACTGAGTCTGGGGGTCAAACCCAGCTGTCAGAAGGACCCTCCCGCTGCCTGGGGTCTGAGCCCCCCGAGGAGCAGCGCCCCGAGCAGGGGCTGCCCAGCCGCCCCAGCCCTGCCGCAGCCCC